GCAAACCAATTTTGCAAACACCTGGTGTGCTCTGGATGTTGCAATGAACTGAAAGGACCACCTAGCCGGGAAGATACTCTTCTAAATAGGGGAGACACGGCAGAATAGGGTATTTATGGTTTCAAATCAAAAAACTGTCTACCTGGCCTAAGCTTTACAACCTGTATACACAAATTAAATGAAATGCTTATTTTTAACTTCTCTCAACTGCACCCATCACTACACATTTCAGCAACACAATCTGAAGGCAACCTAAGAGAGGTGGGCTGCAAGCAGATGCAAAGCTCCCATAGCTTCCCCGTTCATCAATAAGTAAAATGAGCAATTGCTGATCTTGGCAGGGTGTTTTTACACTTTTCATATCTATCAGTGGGAGCATATCATGACCAAAATTAAAATACTAATATTAATTATCTCATAGCAAATTACACAACAGCCCAAAATACATTACAAGGAGCCAAATATGGGAAAAAAAATTAAGAAATTTTTTAAGCTATTTAAAGTCCATACACAGCTGACTTCCTTTAATAAGCATTCTTCCTACAGTGATTCATTGTGTGCAAGAAAATTTGGACCCTAACTACTCTGAGTGTATCAATTGGTGTTTCTAAGCACAGTTTTGTGACTGCTTTGCAGTTTGCATTTTTAACATTTTCCTACACAACATAATGGCTTTTCTCAAAATAACTGCATTTGCACACACATTTGTTACCACAGAAAGTAAATTAAAACACTAATCCCTAATTATGAATATTTTAATAAAACTATTTTGAATAAGTGTCTTATGTATATAAACACTGTTTTACACCCAGCAGCCTCACAAGTCTAACCAGAACACGTGGCTCCATCTGATCGAAAGCCTGTAACATCAAAAATGCCATCAGCATTACAGGATAAAACATCGATGAGCAAAGAATACCAAGACCAAATGATGGAGTAAAAATGAACCAAGCAGAACACAGCACTTCTGCAGCAGCAGTACAGAAATAGCAACATAAGCCTCAGCAACCCAAACAGCAACTATCAATTCAAATATCAGTGTCCTGTCTGCTATTGATTCAAACTAAAGGTACCCTGTGAAACAGTCAAAAGAAAAAGGGGGATCAGGCTGAACCCAAAGTAGGGTTGACAGCATCACAATCCTTCTAGATGTCACTATCCTCTTTAATGTCTTCACAGGTAAAGTCTTGTCTGAGAATTAAGAATAACTACATAAAAATACCAAAGTAAAGAAATTCTTCTGGGTTTTTTTCCCTGACATTAGTAACATTTTTCTAGCCAACAGCAGACTACTGAAAGAAAAAGCTGATATACTCAAAACCCTTGAGCACCAAAGTCACATAAAGCAAAACAAATTGAGGCTTTTGACTAGTTACACATCTTCTAAATTCCACCTGGATGGAGGAAATAGGCACTCATTTAAATAGTCAGTAATAGTAACTTGTAATAATAATTTGAATAGTCAGTACAGGTATCAGCTTCAAATAGCTACTGAAAAAACTTGTGCTGGAATATCATTTATTACATAGGCAATCATTCTTTTTTTTCAGTCTAAATAATAATTTGCTACCACGTATATTTTTCTCATCTATTTTTAAGCAAAAGAGTGGCTTATATTCCGTTTCATAAATAGTGACTTTAAATAATTTGACTGAATACTTTGGGAAAGTTTATGAAACAGCTTCACAAAGCTCAAACATCACAGCAATTGTCTGCTCTTTTCCCCTATCTCTAAGGTCATTAAAAACCATTTAAATTTGTTTCTGCTCTTGGAAAGTCTCACAGGGAGTATCATGCTCTGATGCTCAAGAAAATTGCGAAAAATAAAAAACAAACAAACAGGGAACTCCATATAATTTGTTCTGAATCTCAGCTAGGTCATGTTTGCTAACTGCATCTCCTCTCTTTCAGGATACTCCTCATAGTCTTTCCTTCCTTAAGCCACACTAAAGCCTCCAAGTAGTAAATGAAGAAGCTTAAGTGGAGCCAAGGAGACAAGTGCACCCTATTGCATAACAGTGAGCTGCGCATATTTTATCTCCATAGGTGAGAACATTGCCTTCCAAAATGCTTGGCTTTCACCGCTGCCTACTCAAGCAGAAAGAAGGGAATATAAAAAACACAGACCAGAGATAATGCATCACCAGCACACAGGGACCTCCCAAAGCACTCAAAGGCTGAATACAGCGGGGGGGGGGGGAAAAAGACACAAACTCATACAGGAAGTTTTTTTAAAAGGGATCAAATTAAAATGGGTGCTATTGCAAGTTCTCATCTGGGTGCTCACAACCAAAAAAGAAAGATAGCTGGCAATGCTTTAAGTGGCCTTTGTTTTTAAAGCCAAGTGCAAACAAAAAAAGCAAGCAAACACAGGAAAATTATGTAGGGAATGAGGAAAAAAAAGTCAAAATAATGAGATACTGAATGTAGGGATTATAAAACATCTAAGTATCCAGTTATTCAAACTTTCATACTCATTTCGGAAAGACAATCTCAATTAGCAGCCTACCCTCCCTCCTTACTGCAGTACTAGGAAAACGGGGAAGGAAGGACAGCCCCTATCACTGACAGGCCAAGTTAAGTGCTGGATGTGCCTCCTTGATATAGGCTGAACCAGGAGCACTCTAAGTTTCTAGAACATCTCTAATTAAAAACAAACATTAAAAAAGTTAACTTAGTTAAGCAATTACATCAAATGGGGAGGAAAAAATGTTGGCACAATACAGTAATTTTTGACAACTATCTGCTGTAGAGTGCCAGATGTATTACAAGCAACTACTTTCAAAGTTCGGAAAAATATAAAGTTAGGGTTTATTTCTTTTTTTGAACACGTACAGAAAGTCTACAGTGGGCAACCTTTTTCCCCAAAGGTTTTCTTTGGCTAACTAAATTGATTAAGCAACCTACATTTAACTACTGAAGACTAAAAGGAGTCTTCTGACATCTTACTCCAGGCACGCTAGAAACAATTCCAATCAGGAAAGAGACAGGAGTCGTCAAATTCCTCTTGCTGGCCCAGATGTGAGTATGGGAGTACACTGCAGGGCAGGAGACACACAAGAGAGAACCCCAAGATGGGTGCACACCACGCAGCCAGTGAGATCCCAAACCATGAATCCCCATAGGGGTGACCTCGCACTTCGTGCAGACCATCGGGCTGCAGCCTTTTCACCACCTCTGCTCCTCCAAAGCACATGTAAGACACAGTTTCTCACACGAAAAAAAAAGCCAAAACAAGGAAAAGCAATTAAAAAGACAAAACGACAAAGTTACAAACAGCACGCCAAAACTTCCAAGAACCCCAGCTTGGAATCTGTCTGAGGTGTCAACCTGGTGGAGGCAGCCAGCCTCCGTCCACAGAGCTCAGCACAGGCTCGCTCCTCGTGTCACCTGCACCAGGTGAGCCACGTGTCCCGCCGCTCCTCCACACCCAGCGCCCGGGGAGCAATGCGGACACGGAAATTCTGGTCCCCGGCGTGTACGTGGTTACCCGGCCCAATCCACCAGGTGCTCCACACACGCCTAAGGGCACAGAGATCTACTAAAGCTAGACCTCGGCTGAAGGCAGCGATTACATCGGACAAAGAAGAGAAACAACCAGACGTGCAATCCACCGCCAGCCCTGCAGTGGGAACTCCGTGCTCGCCCGGCTGCCCCAGCACGGCACAGACAGCGTTTGACTGAGCCCCGGAACAGGTGTCTCCACCACCCCAGGGTATTTCTGAGAACAAACCAAAGTCAACACTTTATTCCCACTCGCTTACAAACAGGTACCGACACTGGTATGGGGGCAGCAAAAGGGCTGGTTTCAATAGCAGAATATCTTTTCTTTTTCCTGTCTCTTTAGAAAGCACGTGTGCACGCATCACGGGTTTATACGTACATACTAACATACATATATACAGGCACATATATGCACACACATACATATATATGTATATATACACACGTAAGTACATATACACACATAAACGCCTATAGACCTGTAGATTCACACATACGCGCGCACATATATATACATATTACATATAAACATATATAATATAGATATACACACATACATATCATTTAACAGACAAGCCAGCTTCCACAGCCTGTACCGTTCCGGGCACGCTGGTGGCCGGCAAGCCGCCAGCCCGGCACTGCCCGGCCGCTACTCCTCGGATTTCACAAGCCTCCCGCCCGTCCAGCCCCTCATTGCGGGGCCGCCCGCCGTGCCTCACCGTGTGCTGATGGCCGCACGGAGCCGCTGCCGTCGCCATGTCGGCCCTAAGGGAGCCCGCTCCGGCCCATGTCACTTTAAGGCATGGCACCCGCGCGGCAGCTCGCCTGACTGCCAACCCAGCCTGCCAATGAGAAGGGAGGATGGGGTGTAGGTCCCTCCCCATCCTCCTCCCAGGATTGAGTGGCACGGCACATACCCAATAAAAGAAGAGCGGGGGCGCCGCTCAGCCAATCGAGAGGGAGGAGCGGTGGGCGGGCCCCTGAAGCCAGGCGCGCGGGCGGGGGGCGGTGCGTGGGCACGCGCGGAGGGAGGAGGGCGGAAGAGGCCGGCCTTTGTCAGAGGGAGCCCCCGCGCCTCGGCCAATCGCAGAGCAGGGGCTCTGCCACCGCCCGGCGCAGGGCAGGGCGCCCGCGGCGGGATTGGCGGCGGCGGGGCCGGCGGGGGCGGCGATTGGGCGGCGGCGTTCGAAGGCAGGTTTGGCGCGGGGCGGCGATTGGCTGCGCGGGCGCAGCGCGAGCCCGGGCCCGGGGCGGAGGGAGGGAGGGAGGGAAGGGCGGGGGGCGCGCGCGGGGTGACGCCGCTGCCGCCGACACAAGGGGGACGCGGGCGGGCGGGCGGCGCGCGGGGCCCAGGGCGGCACCGGCGGGAGCGGCACCGGGACGGGGGCGGCGGCGGTGGCGGCTCCTCCTCGGCGGCCCCGGCGGCCGCTCCGTCCCTCGCCCCGGCGGCACCTCCCCATTCCCCTCCCTCGGCCCGCCCGTGTCCGCCCCGCCGGATGGCGGCGGCGGGCGCGGCGGCCGCCCCGGCGCTTTATGCCTGCACCAAGTGCAACCAGCGGTACCCGTTCGAGGAGCTCTCCCAGGGCCAGCAGCTGTGCAAGGTGCGGCGGCGGCGGGCCGGCCCGGCCGGGGCTGCTGGCGGGGCGGCGGGCGGGGGCGGAGCGGGGCCGGGGCTCGGCCGGGCAGTAACGCGGCGCTTCCCCCGCAGGAGTGCCGCATCGCCCACCCCATCGTGAAGTGCACCTACTGCCGCTCCGAGTTCCAGCAGGAGAGGTACGGCGGGCGGGCTCTGCCCGGGGCGAGCGCGTTTGCAGGAGCTGGGCCTGGCGGGTCCGGAGAAGAACAGGCTGAGAGGGGATCTCATCAATGCATACAAATATCTCCAGGGCGGGTGCCAAGAGGACGTGCCAGGCTCTTTTCGGTGGGGCCCAGTGACAGGACGAGGAGCCGTGGCCATAAACTAAAACACGAGAAGTTTCACCTCCACATGAGGAAGAACTTACTTCCACTGAGGGTGGCAGAGCACTGGAACAGGCTGCCCAGGGAGGTGGTGAGGTCTCCCTCTCCGGAGACACTCAGGATCCACCTGGACACGTTCTGTGTCACCTGCTCTAGGTGGCTCTGCCTTGGCAGGGGGATTGCACTGGAGGTCCCGTGCAACCCAACTCTTCTCTGAGTCTGTTTGCAAGTAATTGCATGGGCAGGAATGTCAAAGTGCGTGTTTGTCACCTAATTCAATGTTGTGCCATTTTATCTCTTTAGCAAAACCAACACAATATGCAAGAAATGTGCCCAAAACGTGAAGCAGTTTGGAACGGTGAGTAGTTACTTGGTTCTTAATGCTAAAGTTGAGCTCGTTTGTGCTTCAAACTGAAAAAAAAAAGTTCCCTTACTAATCTTCTAACTAATCTTCTTATTTCCTTTTGAGAAAAAAACCCAAAAACAACAACAACCAAAAAAAACAAGAACAAACAACCAAACCCACACTAGAGATTGCCATCCAGAAGAGTAATGGAAAAGACTGACATCTCTTGATTTCCTCTCTGCGTTACCATTGCTTTTCCCAAATTGAAATCCATTTGGATTATATGTAGCTTAACAGTTAAGGGTAATTTCAGTATAGCTATTTGTAACAAAGCAATGTTATTTCATGCCACACACGTTAAGTTATTCCCTGCATATTCTCATAAGCACACACTTCATGGCAGGAAGACCATTAGCCCTCATTGTTCCTGACTAGTGGTAAATGTGAAAATCTAGTAACACCACGTACTTTTTATTATGTAAGTCTTAAAAAAATGCATGTTAATCATGTTAAGCTAATAAGTATGAAAGATTTTGAGTATTATCTGCATTCATGTTACTTTGCATTTTCTCATATTGAATTTTAGCTTCAGTTCTGTTGGAAAAATGAATTTTTCTATTATGTGAATGCACACATTGTATCTGAGCCACCCTGCAGATACAAGTTTTTAGGAGGTATCAAGATAATCTTGTGTGAAACAAAAAGGCATAACTTCCCAATACTTGACATAAACCATATTATTTGAGAAACATTATAGCTGTTGGCATGTAGTCAGACACTTTGTGAATGTATATATAAACTGAACAAAGAAATGCTTTCAAAAGCTTAAAATGCAGCAAAATAAATTGCAGGACAGATCCAGCAACGATTTTATCAGTAGTTCATCAAAAAACAGGAGTGCACTGAAGATAAGCAGCTACTTCTAACCTATGAAAACTGACATCAATTTTATTTTTCAGCACTGTATTAGTCTAGTTGAGCATATGGTATAAAAGTTGATAACATGACCCGATAGGCCAGATCAGATAGATCTGAACTTGTTTTTTGTTTGGTGGTGGGGCTTTTTTTGTTTGTTTTGTTTTTTAAGTTTTCTGCAGAATTGTAGGGATTAGGATACTAATCTTAGAACTGTAGGGTTATTGAATCTCTGAGCTGTGCAAAGTAGAGGGATGCCATCAGAAATTTTCAGTCTAAAAAAAATCACTTGGTTACTCTTCTTTTAAAGTTCTGTAAGTAATTTCGTGAGTAGTGTAGTAAAACTGTGAGAAAATGTCAACATATTGAAAAAAATAAAAAGCTGTAGGTGTAGAGGTTAGTAACCAGATAGATGTGTGTGTTTCTTTTATTGTGTCTGGGTTTTCATGGACAGTCCAAGCTGGTTTTAATCCCTGTAGAAATATCATCTTAGAGGAAAAGTTTAGTACTGAAGATAAAAATGGTTCATGGAAAAAGGTTCTTTATTGTAGGGTATTTGAAGCCCTACTAGTTTCAAAGCATCACTGTGCAATTTGAAATACCTGTGTTCGTTACTGAAAATACAAATGTATTGACTTCATTCAACCTTTTTTTTTCAGCCCAAGCCTTGTCAGTATTGTAACATTATTGCAGCATTTATTGGCACAAAATGCCAACGTTGCACCAACTCGGAGAAGAAGTATGGCCCACCTCAGACCTGTGAGCAGTGCAAACAGCAATGTGCTTTTGATCGAAAAGAGGAGGGGAGAAGGAAGGTAGGCTTTGTTCCACATCTCTCATGGCTTAGGCTGACAATAGTATTCCTCCTTCAGAAGAGAAAGATTAACAGGAATGTATCTTAAGTTCTCTAATACTAGATTAAAGCTGATCATCTGTGCTTTACAATATTTGAATTCGATTTTGTAACTTGAAATTGTTATTTTAGCTACTGAGCTAACTTTTAATTGAATCATTCTTTTTTAAAAAAAGGGGTGTTAGCAGACAGTTGTAACTGGGGAGCATAAGTTAAGCAGCTCAGCAGTTCTCATGTTTTGATATTCATTTTGCTTTTGTTTTCCTATCCTCTGGATTTCGTGTATGTTCATAACTTGAATCTGTCACTTTGCCTTTTCTTATTTGCTTCCCTTGCCTTTAAGTAGAGCACCAGAGAGGTAGACTGCTCGGAGCAGCCCTTTGTGTTCTGTTTTGTTAAATAGCTTTGGTGAGTGCCACTTTCCCATTCCAGAAGGCGCTGAGAAAATGACCTCAAAAGCCTCTTGACTGAACCCAAGACTAATGCTGTTTTTACAGAAGAATTTACTTGGTACATGTTAGGTGGACATCTTGATTCTGCCTGTAGTATGATAGGTTGAAAGAGGGCATGTGGTGTCTGTAATAACAAAGACTTGTCCTTTTAAAAAGTTATCATTATTTCTGCAATGTAGAGTAGGTCCAAAAATTGCTAGGCCTCTTTGTAGCATAACTTTGATGACAAGTGGAAAAAGATTCACTTTACTAAATGAAACTTACATATATTGGAGATACAATAAGCGATGTTTCATACCAAAGATGTCTGTTTTTCCCAAAGATAATGGATGAAGTGAAACAAAATCTCCTTGCAAATACTGAGTACATCTCTCTAGTGCGATGTATTTGGAAGTAAAACCTGAATTATTTCTCAAAAGGTTGATGGAAAGTTGTTGTGTTGGCTCTGTACACTGTCCTACAAGAGAGTGCTACAGAAGACAAAAGAACAGAGGAAGAGCCTGGGATCTTCACATTCTAACTCCTCATCCTCATCTCTTACTGAGAAAGACCAGCATCATTCAAAACACCACCACCATCACCACCATCATCATCGTCACAGCAGCAGTCATCATAAGTAAGTATTTCAAAAATTGAAATGTAGTTCTTCATCTTCTATGTTCTGTTTGTACTGAGATAGCAAGAAAAACTATTTAAAACATCATGTGAAAAGCAGTACCAGAGCATTGTTCTTCATGGTCTGTCAAAATCCTTGGATTCTTAGAGTTTAAATGAAGGTGGTTCATAAAAAAATGAATTCTTGGTGATTGTCAAACTAGCTGGTGTTAAAATTGGTAAAAAGTCTAGGAGAAAGGCTCCTGGAATGGCTACAGAAACAAGTTACTTGAGGGTAAACTTGTATTTGGGTTTCTATGCAGCAACTGCTGTGTGGTATCTGCATTTGCCAAAGGTGTGTATTAGCAGTGAGAATCCTCATCCTGACTTGCTTCACCCTGACTTATTTGTGTACAAATACTCACAATTAAGAGGAGAAGCAGACACAACAGTGGGATTACCTTCAGTGTAGGACTGGTTCGTACCTCTTTGCTAGTTTTTATAACCAAGTCTTGCTGCTGTAGACAGTTTGGGAGTGGCTGTGATACAGACAGAGGGACATAAGACTGTCAGTTCGGTTACTGTCACTCATATTTTACGTCGTTTTGTCCCATTTTCTGCAACTTTTCTCAATGCATCATCTCTGGCCATGGCATAAACAGTGTACCAACCTTAAGGTACATACCAAATTTATTTAGTCATAAACCCCAGAATTCATGTGGGATTTTGTGCTGCTATGATAGTAGTCATGATTCTTATTTTCACTGATAGATTTGTGGCAGCATAACTTCAGAACTATTTATTTTTTGTGTTTGATAATAAACACTATGTTTGCAATGGTAATGACCCTGATCCCAGACGCACTTCCCTTTTAAACTTCACATATCTAGTGCTTATAATTTTTCATCTTGTCTGAAACTTGCCTAAGTGTGACTTAAAGATAGAAGTAAAATAAGATGAAATTATATTGGCAATGAGTAAAAGGCCCATATTTTCACTTTAAAAAAGAGAAAAGTAGGATTTGACGTTTTAGGAGTTCAAAGAAAAAGGATTATTCTTGTCATGCATAGAGGTANGAGAAAGGCCCATATTTTCACTTTAAAAAAGAGAAAAGTAGGATTTGACGTTTTAGGAGTTCAAAGAAAAAGGATTATTCTTGTCATGCATAGAGGTATTGTACTGTTCCTGTTTTTTTAAATCTCTGCTGAAAATTGAATTACAGACAGTTAAATCTAATTTAATGCATTTGGCACAGGTGCAGTAAGCATTAAATAAAAAAAAAATAAGCTCTTTACTGCAGAACAGAGTTTGATATACTCAAGTTATAACAGTACGCATATCGATACAGATCACATTGTTCCTGGTTTCACACTTTTTTTTTTTTTTTTTGTAGACTGCCACAGGTCCATTGCTTCTGGTCCAATTAATGAGACTCTTTTTCCCTGTCCATTTCAGTTATTGTTAAAATCAGACAATAGAGACAATGAGGTAGAAATACATATTCTTTGAACTGTTTCACTCAGTGTAATCGTCTACATTCTACCATTCCTTTATCAGTGTTCTTTATTAGTTCCTTTTGAAATGATTGAAAGCAAGTAGTTACACCTGAGAAGCAGGTATTTTCAGGGATCCAAAACTTTACTCTTATGGTACCAAATGAGCACCGCTTCAGGCAGTGTTCATCAGGTAGTATGGGAATCCCAGGAGAGCTGCTTTAGACAAACTTGCTGAGTTCAAAATTAACAAGACAAAGTTCACAAAAATTGGGAGGTATCACCAGAAAGGTTTGGCCATCAGACTTGAGGTCTAGCATCTGTGACTTGTAATAGTGTAGATATTTAGCCAAAAGTACTTGTATAGCATCTTGACATACTAAAGCATGGTCAGTAACTTCAGTGTCCAACTGAAAATTCATAATTGCTCACTCTATTAGGAAAAAATGGGGGAATGATTTTTCTCGAGTACAGATACCATTCACATAAACTTACAAGTAATGGAGTATTTGATCAGTTACCAAGTACATTTCACGTATTTCAGAATCAGCAATCTGAGTCCAGAACAAGATCAGGGACTATGGAAACAGAGGTAAATACAATATTATTTATTAATTGTCTTTTAATTTGTCTTGCAGTTTTCATTTAAAGAATTTCTTTTTTTTTCTTGCATTTCTGGCTAGTCTGTAGCATTCCACCTAGGAGCATGAGTTAGTTTTTTTACATGTACCAAATGGTGATATTAGAGAGTTGCATAGTATGAGGCTTTAGGTTTACATTTTGTTTGATTTCAGCCATAAATCCTCTGCAGCTATTCAGAATGAAACTCCAAAGAAAAAACCCAAACTGGAATCCAAGCCATCAAATGGAGATAGGTAAAGTTACATTTTTGTAAAGCTGAGCCATTTCAACCAAAGAGAGCACTGATTTGTGGCCAGTTGCCATTCTTTGTTTGTCTGAAGAATGAGGGATGTGAAACGTGTGTCCTGCCAGATGGATTATTGGGTGGCATCTGAGTGCTGTCAGTCAATTAAATTATTTTATTAGCAGAAAACTAGCACTATTTTCCTGCTTTTAAGCTGTTTGGGGAAAAATTAAACAAAGCTTATGTACAAGGTAACAGTTATCAACACAATGGTGTTCCCTCACATCGGGAATTGTTTTATGAGTTAGATGCAGGGTAGAGCCTGCTGCTGTAAGCTGACCCAGTATCTAGAGAATTCTTTTGAACCTTAATGTGGGAGACTGAATCTTTTTTCTGTCTCTGGCCAAATGGTCAGAATAAAAGTTAAAAGTGGCTGCTTCAGTCAAAAGGTATTTGTCCCACTGAAAGCTAATACTGAATTATATTTCTGCAGGTGTATGTAATGTGTGCCATTAGTAAGGTAATTTGCCAGTTGCATCCATTTCTGTCAGGTACATACTTTTTTTGCATTAGTCCTTAAGGATGTTAATGGAATTATTAATTACTGAATTTGAATTTTTTTTAAGTGTTTTTCTTTTTTCTTTTGATGCTGTAACTAACTGTTGTTTTTCATTTTTAGTAGCTCTATAAATCAGTCTGCAGACAGTGGAGGAACTGACAACTTTGTCCTCATAAGTCAGCTGAAAGAAGAAGTAATGTCACTTAAACGTCTTCTGCAGCAAAGAGATCAGACTATTTTAGAGAAAGATAAGAAGGTAAAAATTACACCTTCTTAATAAGAACTTTATAATTTTGTTTTCTGTTTTGTAGTCTCCTAAAAATGTCAAAACAATAAGATAAACCAAAAGTCAGATACAAGTGTTTTGTATAGCAGCTTATCAGATCTTAACATTTAAAGGAAAACTTTTGGACTCTTGTATTATGAATATATTTTGTCTCTTAAGTCAAAGAGTAATTCATCTTGCCTCACTTCAGCCATGTTAGCCTGTTACTCAGGCTGCATGCCACAGGTCATGGATAAAGTGCCTGACAGTGGTTTGCATGTTTTACATGCTCTTAACTAAATCATGGCAAAGAGTTGTAACCATTCCGAGTTTAGCATAGTTTTTATTTAATTTTAGACTAAAGCAACTCTAGCCGGTGTGGTTTGTTTTTATAGGACTGGTAAGCATGTATACTGTGGGTTGTCAAGTCTTTGTGGGTAGTCAGAGACTAGAAGAAAAGTTTGGATTAAGTGGCTGTCAGTCAACAAAAGTTAAGTGAAATCCTCAGGCCCAAGTGCCTGCAGCAAAACTCTTACAGAAGATTCACCCTTCAAACAAACTAATGACTAACAAGAAAAGAGAAATAACAGCAAATACACACTTTGATTTGCATTTACTTTATTTCTCTGCCATCTGAAAAACTAGAAGCTTTTAGGACACTGTAGCAGTGGCTCTAGAATGTCTGTTCAGGATTGAGTAGATTATGGAATTGTATTCCAAACAAATTTATTATATTTTCAGGTAAAATTTTGATTGTGAATTCATGTTGGCCTACTTAGCATTGATGGTTAAGAATGACTCGTTCATACTGAAAGGAAAATGCTTCCACTTTTAAACCATAGTTCAGTATCTTTATTTCTACACATAGCTGTGTTTTGTAGAGGATATTGAACCTATTTTCATTTATGGCACTGTTAAAATGTACCTAGTGTTGGAAGTACTTGCTATTTCAAGCCTTTAAGTGTTTAATGTGAAAGACCTGAACAGTCTGTCATGGGTTCTCTTTAAGTATTTCTTCAAAGGATGGACATTAGGCCCTGATCTCTCTCTCATAAAGCCAGGAGAAGGTCATGAGTCAGTAGGAAATTCACTTATCTCTTTTTATTTTTAATTTTCTGGCAAAGCTAAGAAAAGTGGTAGGTAAGGAAATGTCACCTACTTCTGCATAACCACTGCAGTGACTTGTTTTGTGCTCTTTCCATAGGGAGAGCATCTAGTGATTTTAATATTCCCACTGGTAAAACTATTGGACTTTAGAATTCTTCAAACTTAGTCTCCTTCAGGCATGAAGTCCTCACTTTGAGAATGTCACTTACTTTCTCAGCTGCTGCAGGGAGGAGAAAAGCTGAACACATTACACGATGTTTGCACAGCTGAAAAAATTGCAACGAATTAACATACTGTAGATTTTTTTCTTTTTTACTGTGAGATAGTAAACTTTGAAGACATGTAGTGGGTGAAAAGCCTGAGCTGTACCTGTGGGAGATTGCTATTAAGGTCGTGTCTCAAGATTTGTGAAGGGACAGCATTTGAACAGTTTTGAATGCTCCAAAAGTAAAACCTCTGAATTGTATAGCATGGCAACAAAAACAGCTCAGTACACCAGCTTTACAGATAATACTCATTCATCACTTTGTTATGAGTTATGAGGTTATCAGCTATGTCATTATCAGTGCTTATTGTTTGCAGTACTGGCCTTGTTTGTCTTTCTAAACAAAATGGTAGTGAGAAACCACAACGTTACCGTGGGACCCTGAGATTCATTATTAGGAGAGGACCACAGTTTGCTGAATGTTCATAGGTAGTGTGTTTGCTCATGTGGTTGCATACTTCACTGTGGTGCAACACTACCACTAGTTTGTTTTATATTTAGTGTGAGCTATGTGGGTTTGCACCGGATGCCCTATAGACTGCAACAGCCATAAGTGCATGCCTTGAGCAGCAGTGTGTGTTCAGTGAGTTATGTACCATTGTAGCAACATACCTGTGCTTGACCATTTCACTGAATGTTTTTTGAACAGGATCTGTTTCACCACGTGTGATTTGACACATACTAAGGTTGGCAATAGCAGTCGTGGTAGTCACTTCAGGAGAGTGTGCTCTGGTTTGTTATGGCAGGCATCTTTGCTAGGAAAAAGTCTTCATTTCTTAATAAATCTCGAATGTATACATTGTATATATTTATCCTTCTGCTTAGAACAAAATGTAGCATAAAAGGACACAAAAGAATCCTTTTTATTGTCTTTGTGGGAAGATTTTTGGATGTTACCACACCATAAAACTGAGAGATGTAACTGAAGATTATGATCAGCATCTCACAGCTGAAAAAACAGCAAACATCATAAATCACCAGTCTTGTATTTGAATTTTTTTTCTTGAGGTTTAGCCTTTTTTATACAAAATCCAGAGCAAATATATGACTGTAGTTGCTTTCTGCATATAAAATAGGTATACAGACTTTTCAAATTGCTTCTCAAGTGCTGAGCTGTCAGTACTGCAACAGTAAATAAATACAGTGTTTCCTGAGATTCCGGAGCCTTCGCTAAAGATTTCACGTACTGACTAGAAGATGTATCCTGTTGTAGTTCAAGGAATCTTCACAGGATGATATGTGTTTTTCAGTTGACAGAATTGAAGGCAGACTTCCAGTACCAAGAGTCTAACTTGAGGACAAAGATGAATAGTATGGAGAAAGCTCACAAGGAAACTGTGGAACAGTTGCAGGTGCGTAATTGCTTATCAATACTTGGGAAGTACTTCAGATGGAATCATACATTCAGGTATTCAGGCTGTTCACTCAGCTTGTTTGCTCAGGATTGTTCAACACAGTAGTACCAAGTTCATGAGTGGTCATTGCCATGCCTAGCTTTGGATGCATTGTACAGCACCTCTGCAGTCAACAGTCTCCGTATACTGGCCCTTTTAACTTTAAGAAGTAAAGCCTTACCTCACATGCTTTCTCAAAGTTTATTTTTTGTGTCTGTTCTCTGACAATTTCTCAGTTGTCATGGGATACGGATCTGATTTAAGCACTCAGCATTAACACATTGACAGCTAGATGTCTCTTGTTAAAGCATGCTTTATCAGGAAGAAAGCCTGAATTAGTTGCCTTGTAAATCACAGACTGAACAGGCACCCAGTGCAATAGTGGATATATTAAATTTTGCAATATGGGTGTGGTTACTTTGTTGAAGACAGAACATGATATCAAAAAACATATACAGTTCTTTGAAAAGTGATCATTACCTCCTTAGCACCTGCATTCTGAGAATTTGTACATAAATGCAAAGTGCTGACGTTACTATTTCAACTCATACCTTTTTTAATCTGTATTGCAGGCCAAAAACAGAGAACTGCTCAAACAGGTCGCAGCATTGTCAAAGGGTAAAAAGTTTGATAAAAGTGGGAGTATCCTCACATCTCCTTGAGGACCTGGTTCTTTGTGGGGTTTGCTACTCAATGTACATTTGAGTAATTCTGTGAAGCCCTTAAAATCCTGTGTAGTGGAAAAAATATTTTTGCACACCAGATTAGTTGGCATGTTTCCTACATGTTTTTATAATTAATATGCAGCTTTTTTTAGTTACTGTTCAGATGAAATACTTCAACTGGCTTGAAGAATGTTTTTATTTTTTTGATATTGGAAACCTTTTGCCAGCAATAGTATTAAACAATTGCATAGAGAACATAGCAGTGCTCTCTCTGAAAGGACAACATGCAATAACAAACTAGGTGTACTTTTTACAAAGTAGCAGCTGAGTCTTTTAAACTTACACTGATGTCAGCCAAAAGTTTATGAATCTGCAGTGACACTGAACACTGGTTTCTGGCAACTGTTCTTTTACTTTGTATGAAAATATAAATTTGGAATGGAAATCATGGTGCTCTCAAGTGGAACTAAAAAGAGGCATATATGTATTGTAAATACAACTGTAACGGTTATATTCTTAGTTATAACAAGTAATTAGTGTTTTACATTCTTGTGATAGGGACTGACTGAAAGATTATCTATTGTACAGTAACAGAGGCAGCGTGGTTTTTGTAAGATTTACTGTAGACTTTTCTTGCAAGTGCCTTTCTCCAACTGTTTATTTATAGGAATGTTGGTATTTTGTACATAAGGTTTTTATGTTTTAAAATCATGTTTAATAAATGTTTTATGTAAATATAAATGTGTGTACAGAGGAATCTGAAACAAAGATCAAAGTGGCTAGTGCAGTGCTCGAGGCAACATTAAGAGCTGGCTAGCTGATTGATGGACAGTGAGTATTTGCTTTAGATAACCTTTGTAGCTTGTGTCTGTGAGGTGTAGAATTTTATTAGTGCTGCTCATGCCAAACACTTCCTGAACAAAAAACAAAATGTTTTTTTTGCCACACTGGAGTTTTGTGGTTTGTTTATACATTTTTCCCATTTGGCACAGCACTAATTTTAATTCCATAGCAGACATTGTACTCCAATGTTACATCCTTAGCTAGTGATACACACTCAGAGTTTTAAATGCGTTTATTCCCCATTGTCTGATTTAATGTACTTGGTTGTAACTTATGGTGATTCTTCTTAATGATTTGCAACATTCACATCCCCCACTGAAGATGCACATTGAGAAAAGAGTAGCCAAAACTAATGGTCTTGAAATTAACTGAGGGAATGGATGTGATGTCATAGGGTGGGTTATAATGTTCTGGGTGGATTTTCATTCTAAATTACATCAGTTTAAGTTTAGCTCTGCTCCTCATGGACATGAGTCATTCAGAAATTTCTATTAAACAATATAGTATACCCCAAGGTGTCTATTCATGAAGGTAAGTTATGAATCAGCATAAAAGGAAGTAGACTTACATGGGTAAAGGTTTAAGTCAGCTCTGGATACTGACTGGTAACAGGGTAGCTGTTGACCTTTCAGCAAGCTTTTGTAGAAACAGCTATGCATTTTTAATTAAAGAAAAGTCTATAGACCCTTGGCTGTTCACCCAGGTACTGAACTATGAACACCTTCTCAATAGTTCAAAGGAGTTCCAGCAGCAACAGACTACTGAAAAATATTAAAAACTTGAGCTATCTTGTTTCGTATCATATATGTGTATTTTTATACCCTAAAATCAACTTTGTAAGTTTATAAAAGCCTCTCTTTAAACATATTAAACTAGGGTAGAGAATGCTGCTATCTTTGGGGTTGTTATTAATTTTTTTAGTCTACAAATTTATTACTTTTATTAATTCAGAATTAGTATTTGGGTCATTTTTTTTTCCAGTTTGATGATGACCCATATTCAGTGAAATGAGTTTTAAAATACAGAAATGCATAGCAAAATTAAATATTTGAATTGAGATTACTTAATTATATCAATTCAAGCTGCAGTCAGGACATTTTAAAGAAACAAACAGAAGTTCTGTATTAGAAGTAATTGACTTTATAAATCCCTGTCAAAATAATTTTTAGGAGTTTAGTTCTTATTAAATACCTGTGGATTTTCTTACATGATCTCAATTTTAACATTAATTTTTTAAAGTCCTTAACTAGCCAACTGAATCCCAGTCCTGAGAATTGTGTCCTGGAGCTGTAGATTATTGACATAATAAACTGATGTTCTTTAAACGTGGATCTGCGAGGAGATTGTTGTACTGTATTGTGCTTTTTAGCCTGTTTCCAGATGTTGATTAGCATTGACCAGTAATGGCCATTTTGGCTCAAGTTATTTATGTATTTTAAGCCTGTGAATATTGCAGCCCCCTTTTAGATAGTTTGTCCAAATCCACGTTCTGCAGTGAAGCTGTTCAGCTGTCCACATGTATAGATTATTGAAATGCTGTACTGGCACACATCTGACCGTTGACATTTTGTACCTTTTCTAAATCCAATGTTTCACAATAAAATCTTGTCAAAATATTCGTTTGTCCTTTAAAAATTATTCAAAAATCTATATTTTGTGTTCTTGTATCTTTCATGCTATGTTACTCACTAAAAGTCTGTGGCAAAAAAATGGGCAGAATTTAGTATTTCAATTTCTGTTAAGAGTAGACACCTTGGGCTATCTGCAGATTGTAACAAACTAGAGCTACAGATTACTTTGTCTTGTGAAAATATTTTTGTTTTCTACAACAGAATTATAATACATAGAAATATTTTCCTTTTGAGAAGAGAGACACGTGAAGTGACATTGATAATTTCTTTGTTCTTTTTCTTATGTCAGGAGGAGTTAGGTGCCCAGACCTAACCAGCTTCCTGCTGGCTGGCTGTCACAGTGGCTCCTAGTGTTTAGAGCACTGGTGCTCCAAATTGTAAATCTCACTTTATGTTTTTCTCAGCAATCAATCTTCATTCTTCCACAATCCAGAAGAATACTTCTCATTCAAGAATTAAAGTTCAAAATTAAAAAAACCCAGCAAAAAAACAACACAACAACAACAAAAAAACAAAAAACAAAACAAAACAAAAAAAAAAAACAACAAAAAAAACAAACAAAAAAAAACAACAACAAAAAAAGCAAAACAAAAAAACAAACAAAAAAATGAACCCAAGTCCAACAGAAGAGTAAGATTCTGTATCTGGTCAAGGCAATTACTTAGAAGGGGAGAACCTTTGAGTTTCAGAGCATCTCAAAACTGTTGACACTTCGTGTTATGTATAGTAATGAACAGTATGCTATTCTAATACTAGATTGTTCTCGGTCTCATTTTAATGCAAACTTGCAACAGAAGCTTTGAAGCCAATTATTTTTAAAGCTGAGAGCAAGTCAAAACTCGGTGTGGTGTACTTATTTTAGGTGTGGCTTCCATGTGACACATGCAAAATGTGTGTAACAGGCCATGTAACCAACTGACTCCTGAAAAGAGATTTGCATCATTTGAAGCAAATTTCTTTAATGAATATTTAAATTTACATATAACCTGTGTATAGGCATTCAGGCAGTTCTTAATGGTCTTTAGTACCTTCAAATGTTCAAAATCCACACTGGTTTTTATGAAAACACTGATGTTTATGATTATAAACTGTAGCTATTGAAATGGAGTAAAAGCTTTTCATGTAATTTTTATTCATTCTAACGATTACTAAAATATTAGTACTGCAATAGAAAATGCATTTTCTGATATATTATGTGCAATTGCTTTAGATTTCCTCATGGAAGAGGTACTGATATATGAAATTACTTGTGTTGAATCCTACAGAAGTAGTAGGGGTGTTAGACGAGGATTATTGAGGTGAAAGGAGATGTTCGTGGTGCTCCTGGAGAAAGAAGGAGGGTAATGGAGGTGTCAGGGCTAATGGGGAAGAGAAACCTCTGAGATACCCTGTTACTTGTTTATGCAATGTACTGAATCACACAGCTAGGTTTTTTTAAGGGATACATATTTTCTATATCTGTAAAATGCAGCATTGCATAAGGGAGATTTTTGGTTTTGTTGGGAGTTGTTTGTTTTTAGCAATACTAGAGTCCAGATTTTAGAAATGAACAGAATAAACCTTGACTAAATTGAAATACAAAGTTGTGCAATGTAACATCCACCTTATAAACAGTTAGTCAGAACTGTAAGTCGAAAAAAAACAGGTAAAACTGCAACAGACGACGGCATACCGTAACCCCAGCTGGGTAATGGTGCAAGTTTCACTGTATGACTCCAAGTGACTATTCTTACACATTAGACAGAAATTGTCCTTGAAGGTATGTCACTCAGCAGCACATCAATCATTTACATTTTCCCTTGCTTTAACCTAAACAGAAAACAAGTCTGGATTTGTCTCTTTGTAGTACGCTGGCACTGTTCTAACTGACCTTGTTGCTCCTGGCAATTTCTCTTTAGTGTATCTCCTGGTGGGTAAAATTAATTTTGCATTTTGACTGAAGGTGGTTTAAATGCCATGGATGCTGATGTACTAGGCAAGCCAGGGGAAAAAGAGATTTGTTTTTGAAGTGTCCATTTTCCTTCTGCTAAGGGTTTCTGACTTTGGAGTACTTGGGTAAGTACATTCATTTTCAGTTGGAAAACAGGCATTCTAGCTTCTGGAGAATATTGAAGACTACAGTTAAACCCCCATCACCTTTGCATACAAAAGGTTAATATTGGAGGTGTAAGCAGAAGACTACTTTTATAGAGTCTTCTTTTGACTGCAAAAGGTGTGTGAACAAACAAAAATAGAATGGACTAACAAATAGATGAGAGTTCAGACCCAAGTGATCTTATTATGGGTTGGGTCAGAGGAATGTGATGTATTCCTCCTATGGCTTCTGGGGGTATTAGAATTTGCAAATTGATTTTTCCCAAATTGATTTTTACCTCTTGTTGTAACACCTTTCCCACTTTTTCAGTACCCTAGAGCAATTTATTTTGAACTGAGTACTGAAAACCCCAAGATGTTTTCCCTTATTTGAATCAACAGATAAATGTGTTTTGCTTTATTTCAATAAAAGGTGTAGAGCATTCACGATTTGCCCTTCATCAGGTGCATCAACTCATGTCTTCAGTTTTATTTATAGCAGTTCCTTGGGAAACTTTTCACAACCTTCCAAAAAGGGGAGGAGCTGTAAAGCTGTATTTGCTGGAATAACTTAAACCACTGCTGAAAGGCAAACACATTAATTCAAGCTGACTCCACTGAAGCAGTCAAGTGGTGCTCATACAAACTGTTGTAGAGCATGTGACAAAACAATGAGGAACAGTAATTTCAATCATTCCTTCAAGATCTACAAGGATTTGCTTGCTGGTCATTTACCTGACAGGGTGCAGCATTCACTAAAGTTACAAAGAGGCTTTTTGCCTAATCATACAAGCAAAAGATCATGGAGATCCATCCATTAATCCAGCCAAGTCCAGCTGTACTTCATGTCCCTAAGTGTAGAATCTGCACATTTTCTGAAGGGATGGTGATTCCACCA